GAAGATATATAGTATACTAGAAAATAATTTATATTAGAAGGCAGAGCTTACGTATTAATTAAACCGAAGTTGGCTTAGTACCAAAATATGTACAAACCAAGTTGGTAGAGAAGAATCAATCAATGAGGCGTCGCTAGGAGCGACTTATAAATTATAGTAAGATGTTCAATAGCAGCCAAAAAAATACATTTAACTTACCAAACTGAGAATCTGAGAACTCGTGGATGCCTCCACCAGACTGTAAAAGAAAATTTGAAGTCGTAAGATTAAAGACATAGCGCGAAGAGCATCTATAGACATGTATACCTTGACAGAGAAGTAACCCCACACATTTGGGTTGCTCTTAAAACTAAGCTCCTGTCACAAGTTCATAAGATTTGTTAAAGCATGATTAACCCCGGTCTCTTAGTCAGGACTCTTAACTCATGATTTGACACTTTTTTTTTTACATTTTTTTACTAAGAACCGGCTCTTATATCTCGGTTCTTAACTTTTCTTAGTTAAATCTCTATAATATTATTTGAGAAGTCAGTTTCCTATGTGTCGCGCTCACGTTAATTCTCACGATGGTTGATTACATAGATACCCTTAATGAATTGTTAGATTTTAAGTTTATTATTATTTTTTTATATAATTTCCTTTTTTATTTTTTTTCCAAATAACATATAATAATAAAAAGGAAATATTTATAAAATTTTAAAACAAATTTAAAACGAAAATATATGTATATAATATGATTTTATTAAAAAAGAAAGTTCACAAAATAGTAATATCCCCATTAAAATATATTTTTAAATAACATAAAATATATTTTCAAAATAATAAAAATATATATGTTTATGAACATTCAAAAATTTATCAGTTACACTTTATTTTCTAATATTTTTAGAAATCAACGCGTTAACTCTCACGATGGTTGATTACATAGATACCCTTAATGAATTGTTAGATTTTAAGTTTATTATTATTTTTTTATATAATTTCGTTTTTACCTTTTTTTCAAATAACATATAATAATAAAAAAGAAATATTTCTAAAATTTTAAAACAAATTTAAAACGAAAATATATGTATATAATATGATTTTATTTAAAAGGAAAGTTCACAAAATAGTAATATCCCCATTAATATATATTTTTAAATAACATAAAATATATTTTCAAAATAATAAAAATAAATATGTTTATGAACATTCAAAAATTTATCAGTTACACTTTATTTTCTAATATTTTTAGAAATCAACATATAATTTGATAAATATTATGAAAATACATGTATATTTAAGCGATAAATAAACTAATTTGATTGGACTTAACTAAAATGAAAAGTAATTATACTTCAATTTTAATTTAAAAATATATTTAACTCAATATACTCAGAAAATGAATGACTCGACTAATCTAATTTATATCCAAAATTAAATATCTAACTAGAATAAGAGCATATAATTTTATAATAATAATAATAATAATAATAATCTATTTAATTTTATACATATAAGAGGTTGACTCAAAGCATATTAAAAAGAAAAAGAAAATATTAACCAATTACAATTTAATTCTTTTGTAGAATTTATATAAATTCATGAGATTTCAATATATTATCATTATATTCATTTATGTAATTGTGAATCAAGCACTTCAGCTTATTATTTATTTCATTTTAAGCACAATATATATTAAGTTATACATAATTTAACTATAGTATATTTACATATTTAAGACAATAACCAACCGAAAAATAAGAAAATTAATCAAAGTTTTATTATATTTAGAATAAAAAAATTATAAATGAATTTTAAAAATAGAAATTATCCAATATACCAAATTGATAACCAAACCAACTATTGATCCAAAAAATAATTAAACTGACAATAATATATCCAAAGTCATATGTATAATTCGAATAATATAATATATAATATTTATTAATATAAATTATACATATAAATTTATTCAAAACTAAAATTAAATATAAATTAATTATTATAAAGTTATATTTTTATGAATATTCATACCCGTGAATGAGCACGGGAAATCATCTAGTACAGGGTTAATCATGAAAAGACTTTTTAACATTTTATTCTGATAGTTACCATTTTTACCTGCAATTCACCGCTGGTGGGTTTAAACCCGTCATCAGGATCCTCGCTTGTCACGCGTACAGCAACACAATGACCTTTGGGCCTTGCAGATTCAGCTTTGTCAAAATCAAAAGGGGAGGATACCAAAGATGTTGTCCTCCAAGAGTCATATTCTATACCATAGAACCGTCTTATCTCTGAGATATTAAAAGTCCATTAACATACTCATATGGACTAGAAAGGGAAACGCTGCCTTTTGGAAAATAAGGATGCAGGGGCATACCAGGGATTTGCCAGAGAGGGATTCCCATACCGACAGCAACTTGGGCAGCTGGAAGATTTATGTCAGCGATACGCTCGGTTACAGGGTGCTCGACCTAACCTCAAAACAAGTTTTTTTCTACTCTCAAAAGACCAAACGTTTCGTGCAAAAAAGTGGAGGAACCTTTCAAGGAAACAAACCTGTAATCTAGGGTTAAGCTCTAAGAAGAAGTAGTCCCCAGTGTCCATGCTGTAGAGAAACTCAACAGTAGCAGCTCCAACATAGTTAACACTCTTAGCCAACCTTCTAGCTGCCTGCTCCAGCATCTTCACGGTATCTCCGGGAGCCACAGTGATTGGACCCTCCTCGATGATCTGTGTGATTCAAAAACCCAATAAAGTAACAAGTCAAAGCAATCATCTGCGTCTACCAAATGATTTGGTGCAAGTTCAGATTGTGACTGAAAAGCAAGTAGATGGGATAGTTTGTTGCAACAAAGGGACTCAACATCAAATTTCTTTAAGAGTATGTGGATATACTCTTGTGCATAGGTAGATGAGATTAGAAAAACGGTACTTGACCATTTTTTTAGTCTGCTAAGCCTTTGGCTTGATTGTTGAGTAATAAAATATAGAGAGAGAGAGAGAGAATAGGTGGTCTTAGCAATTTAGATCCAATAACAAACCTTTTGGTGTCGTCTCTGGACGCTACAATCACGGCTATGTAAAGCCGAAACGTTTCCATATTGGTCACAGAGCAGCTGCACCTCTAAATGCCGACTCTACAAATTAAATAAAGAGAAAAAAAAAGCAATGCACTCATCAGATGTGTACTTCGATCAAGTGATCTATTTCTATTTTTTAAAAAGCTGCCATACCTGTGAAGCAACCTTCATTATGAATATCGGCGAGCCTGGGACCTCACCTTGAACTTGCTTGAATAGAGCCCTAACCTCATCATCATTATGAACCTAGCAAATGAAAGCAGAGTAAGTACACTTACATTGAAACTGGCTTAGTGAAAGTCCTAAGGCGTTGAGGTTACCTTCCTAATGCCTTTACCGCCACCACCCCACGATGCTTTGATCATTGCCGGATAACCGACAACTTGACAACTAGCAACCGCTTCTTCGGTAGTGTAGACACAAGCTTGCCTGTAGATCTCCTCGGGTATCGTTACCAAGCTGCTACCAGGAGGTATTTTAACCTGGAAAACATCAGAACTCAGCACTTATTTTAGTTAAATATATGACCAGTCTCTGGTAATCATTAATTTACACTTACATGGGAACCACTCCATGGCAGAGTAGGTACATCAGCAGCTTGTGCAATCAATGACGAACCAATCTTATCGCCTAATGCTACCATTGACGCTGCTGTAGGACCAAGAAATATGACTCCTTTGGCCTTTAACGCATCAGGTAACTCAGGGTTTTCAGATGCATGACCCCAACCAGGCCAAACTGCATCCACACGTGTTGCTTGAGCCATCTGCATTTACATTTGTATTTAAACCACACTAAAATTTGTAAACAGTATTAGACAGTCTACAAATTTTAGACTCAAGCAAAAAAAAAAAAGAAGCTCACAGAAAAGTTGCACTCACCTCTACAATAAGATGAACATTAGCATAATTGTTATTGTTCGTTCCACCCGGGACTTCCATAAACTGATCAGCGATTCTGATATGTTCCGCATTGATCCGCATGTCTTCAGGAGTCGCCATGGCCACCAATGATATGGACTTTTCCGAGCCAAATGTTTGGTAAGACCATGCTCTGACACTGCGTATAAACTTGACAGCTGCCATTCCATTGGTAGCCACCAAAATGCTATGGATTGGCCTTTTTCCACCAAGAGCCTTACAGAACTCATCCACTTGAGACACTTTCACAGCACTATGATCATTCCCATTAATGGACCCAGTCCCTTGAGGCTCAGATATATCTGTAAAAATAAGCCATATATAAGAGATCTAGTGAGTAAATAAATTGGCAGCAACAACGTTCCTTTCTACATTCCAATGCTTTGAGTTAAAATCTTTGATTCACTTGCGATATTACAGAACAAACATAGATTTCGTTTTTTTCAGACAGAATGACATTAAAAGGCTTTGCTTAGTTCATCCATATGAATACGACTGTAAATAAAATGCAAAAATAATAACACAAGACAGAAAGCAACCATTATCGCGGAAGGAGGTCGGATCAGGGCTGCTCAATTCCTTCCTTCCTAAGTAGGCCAGAGGACGAAACTGTTTGTTCCTTTGAGACAGAACATTTCTTCTGCTCTTGTTTTTGTAAATCGAAACTCCTTTGAAGGCTCTGATCATAGAGTTGCTTCCCAGATTCACTGTGGCTGGAAAGTCTCTGCCACTTGAACCACGAGCTGATGTGATCCATGGTGAAACATTGGAGAGTCTAATCGGATTAGAAGCTCCATTTCCGGCAGCAGAACACGAAACCAAAGCTCTCATCTCCATGTTTGATAGAAAACTTTGTAACCAAGCCAAACGAGTAAATAATGTTTAGAAAACGTTCAGGTGCCCTAACCCCTTGTAAAATACTCAAATACCCCTCTCCTATTAAAACTCATGGTCAGAGACCCTTCCCCTCTATAGTAAATCTTTCCCTCCACATATTACTTTTAGAGACGGTATGGGTTTTGCAGTGTTGGGTAAGAGACTGTTTGTATTGGCTGGATGTGGTTGGGTAGAGGATGGTACTGATGATGTTTATTTCTATGATGCTGCTATGAACACTTGGCTTCACCTATTGCCTCCTCTTTCAACTAAAAGATTGGTTTTTGATCTTGCTATTTTAGCAACAAGCTCGATGCATGTTTGATGTTTTGTTTGCATTTGCAGATGCTTCTTTGCTTGTGAGACGCTGGATGGGAAAGTCATGGACATTGGTGGGTTAGGAGGGAATTCAAAAGCTTCACAAACTTGGGACATCTATGATCCTTTATAGAAAGCCTGTGTATCTTTCTCAGACGAAAGTAACGTTCCTGATATCGAGTATTCATTTGTAATGGATGGGAAGGTTAATGTCCGCGGCAGTGCTGGGTATTCTGATGCAGACTATAGTGAGTCCAGCGGAGTATTCATGATAGGGCATCAGGATGGCTAGGTTCACCAGCTGTTGTAATAGATGATCTCTATGTTTTGGATCAGAGTTTTGGAGCTACGCTAACAATGTGGTGCAAGGAATTGAGGATGTTGATTTGTATAGGGAAGCTATCTCAGTTGGTGACGATGATGACCCAGCAGTGTTGGCTTGTTTCTATTTGAAGTAATATATTTGTGACTGGCAGGGATTGCTCTACTGTGGTGATTGATGTTGAGAATGTCAGGAAGAAGACGATGAATGGAGTAATGGTGTGTTCTTCTATACCAAAGACTTGGGATGATAATATTGATGTTATCTAATAAGTATAATTAGTACTTACCCCTAATTTTCTTAAATGAGTATAAATTAGTAAAACTGTTAAAAGTCTCACATAAATTTTTAGGATCAAGGTTTTAATTATTTTATATATTAAAATATAATGATTATAAGACCATATATGAAGAAATAATTGTAGTTTATATATATTTCATATCGTTTAAATTAAACTATGCATCGTATGAAAATACATAATTATATTTTGATATTTGCATTGAATATATATTGAAAAGTTAATATTTTAATTTTGAAATATGTCATTGTTTTTTTAAAATGATTATAAATTATTTAAACTACTAAACATCTCACATTAAAAAAAACTCGTTGGTGTAAATTTTTGTTACAAAGATATGCAAATAATCATAAAATCATATGAATAGAAACCTCATTTAATAAATATCCATATTAAAAGTGTTCTATATTACTATGTTTATATCATTTAAATTTAATTATATATCATATACAATATATAAGATTGATTATTGTGATTTATTTACCCTAATTGCGAATAAACAAGAGTGATAGTTAAATTTATATGCATACGCCAATTTATTACATAATAGTAACTTATTTCTTTGTTATTTAATATATATATTTATTATTTTATTATTTTATTATTTTATAATATGTAGAAAAATATAAAATAAATAATAAATATAAAATACTTATTGTGCATAAAGTGCAGATCTTAACCTAAGTATGTATCTTTTTAATTATTTTAAATCTTAAGTATTTTCTAAATCCCAGGTCAAAACAAACAAACGAAATGAGAATAAAATTCAAAATAAATATTTATATCGAGTAATAATCAAAATAAAAAAAAACACAACAAGAGAAAAATTGAAGATGAATAGGATTGACACGTGAACGTAAACTTCTCATAACCACAATAATTTTAAATTATTAAATCATGATATAAAACTGAGTTAATTTTTAATTTGTTAATTTTAAATTTTTTAATTTTTTTAAATCATTATGGTTATGTTAAATCATGACCATAATTAATTTTAAATTTCTTATTTGTATTTTAAAATCTAAAAATATTGTTTTAAAAATAATTTAAATTTAACTTAATTTTTTATAATTTTTTTTTAAATATATAATTTGTAAAAAAAAAAAGATTTCTAATACTATTAGACAAATAAATAAGTTATATTAAATTAGTTTTGAAAAATTATATATTTTAAATGTAAATATTTTACCAACTGCTTCTTAAGAAAGCATTAGGAAATTTGCTAATACTCTACCACTCAAGCCTAGTGACACTCCATTTATTTTTTATAACTCGAATACTGAAAAGTGAAAAGATATATGAAATCGGATCTATTAAATTCTAAGCTTTGATCTACGGTTCTAATTACAATTGTTTCTGATCATACGTTAGGTTTTTAATTATGATATGACTTTAACACAAACTATAACTAGCAGAATACGCAAAATATACAACATACAACGATGTCAATCTTTATTTAGACCAGTAGATAATCACAACGTACTCATTTAACTTAAGTTTTGATATGTATGCATAAATTCATATAGTTTTATATATACGTTTATTTCGATGTTAAGTGCAGTGGCTGATGGAGAGAGTATAATGAAATTCAAAGTTCTATTTGACTTATCAACCTTATAATTTCATTGGAAAATAGTGAGAAACCCAATACCCTCGATAGTGTTGGTCTTTAGGACTAAAGTTTGAAACTCGAATTTTAAAATTACAATATAAGCTGAAACATTTTTGTTACTCTAACAACTCCACCTTGCATCTCTACTATAAAATGAATAAGCAAAGCAAACTAATAAAAATAGGCAATAACCGTCTCTCCTTTATACTTATTAAAATAATATGATTTTAAATATTTATTATAATTATATGAAATTTAAATATTATTAATTTTTTATTTAACTACTGATACATTTGGTAGTTAATCAGTCATAAATATCTTGAAAATGTATCAATTTCTAACCGTTATACCAGTCGTATAAATATTTTAATAATAATGTTTACAACCGTAATTACCGTGTCTGCATACGCCTGCAACCACATTCACACCTGCAACCACATTCACAACTGTTATGGTTACACTAGTCATGTCCTAATTACACCACTAAACAATAATTTGATCATAAAAAAGTTTACAGTTTAATTCTCTATTTTTTATTATATGATTTTTTTGTCACATGCATAAAAATTAAGAAAATCTTTAAATAGTAACAGTAATATAAATCTTAACTGAGCTAATCAACATAAATAATAAATATAATATTTACTGGTCAAGTAATTTAAAAAAAAATAATAATAATAAATAAAGTATCAAAACATCTTACATTTTCAAACACAAATCTTTTGTAAAACATTTACATTATGAAACAAAGAAAATATTTAAATTTTATGCACAAAACAAAATAAAAATGAAAATATTAGGTAAAATTAATATTTCTAAAATAACAAAATAGAAAAATAAATCAAATTTAAACATGTAATCCGCGCTACGCGCGGAAAAAAAATCTAGTAAATGTAATAGTCCAACATAGAATACTTACAAGCAGACATGTCTTATTTCTGTTTTAATAGTATTAGTTATCAAAATTTGCACGAACATCAATATTATGGAAATAGTGAATCATTAATTAAATCATACAATTTACAATATACATCGGTTTATACTACCAACCATATTAAGTAAATTAAATAAAATACATACTGAACATACATATTAAGTCATTTCTGTTGTAAGATTTTAAACAAAGTTTTGACTAATGCCGGACGGGTTAACAAGATAAATAATTCAACTCAGTTAAACAACTTATAAAATAAGACTAAGATCAATGTGAAACGGGTCAAACTGATAAATTAATTAAATTCATATTATATAGATAATTTAAATTATATATAAAATTTTAAATATATCCATTATGTAGAAAATTTAAATTTTCAGTTTTATACAACTTAATTAACTAAAAAACATCACAGATCAAGATTTAGTATCTAACATGATTGTTATATGGAATTAACCTTTCTCTGATGTGGTGTTTATGAAAAATGCAACTGGCAATATTTTAATTTTAATTATTCATTAAAGAAAGTAATGACTAATTAGTCTTTATCTAATTTACTTAAAATATCTTTCAAAGTATTATTCTAATCACAATATTTAATTAATAATTCTATTAAAACAAAATTTGAAAGATAAGTAAGCAAAATCTTTTAAATTTCATTGTAACAAAACAAATTATTAGACGTTTTAATTTTAAAACTGTATTAAATAGATAGCTTAACCTATTATTCTTTTTAAAAATATGAAATTGAAGTAAATATTATAAATATTTGAAATAATAACATATTTAGTCTTTTTCTCTCTCTTAGTTGACAGCGATGGCGAATATCTAGGGTTTGGGATTTTAAAATTTATAAATTTATAGAGATATCAATTTACAAAAGTTTTCTTGTTTAGATTTTTATTTTAAACATTTTTTTTCTAAAATAAATAAAAATATTTGATTTTAGTGTATAAAAATTAATTATTATTTTTCTAAAAAATTTGACATTATATCAATTTTATTATATTATTTTATGTATATTATATTATATATACTGCATATAATCCAAATGTGGTTTTTGACATAATATTACAAAATATCATCAACAATATAATAAGTCTTAAGAAAATATAAAGAGAATTGCATTGTAAATATAAAACAAGCATTATAGTGATATGTTCTTGCTTATATAAAATATGTATACGTTGATAAAAACATAAAATAAAATATGTATACATATAACTATTAATTTATAATTTTAATGGAAATATATATTTACATAAAATTTTCTTAAAAAAAATATTATCTTATTATTTTATCCATTTGTGTCAAATTTTGAACTGGTCCAAATTAGGACCCACAATTTTTATTAATTAATAAAAAATATTAATTAATCGATTATTAATTTATAGAAGTTCTATTGTAATTTATATTTATAAATTAAAGATATAAATATCTTTTGTCTTCTTATAAAGTTTCATATTTAGGTGTTTTTGAAAATATACATTTAGAGAAAATCTCTATAATATTATTTGAGAAGTCAGTTTCCTACGTGTCACGCTCACGTTCACTCTCGCGATGGTTGATTACATAGATACCCTTAATGAATTATTAGATTTTAAGATTATTTTTTTAATTTATTTTTTTTCCTTTTTCCAAATAACATATATAATAAAAAGGAAATATTTCTAAAATTTTAAAACGAAAATATATGTATATAATAGGACTTTATTAAAATGGAAAGTTCACAAAATAGTAATACCCCCATTAATATATATTTTAAATAACATAAATATATTTTTAAAATAATAAAAATATATATATGTTCATGAACATCTAAAAATTTACCAGTTACACTTTATTTTCTAATATTTTTTAGAAATCAACATATAATTTGATAAATATTATGAAAATACATGTATATTTAAGCAATAAATAAAACTAATTTGATATGACTTAGCTAAAATAAAGAGTAAATAAATATTATGAAAATACATGTATATTTAAGCGATAAATAAAACTAATTTGATATGACTTAACTAAAATAAAAAGTAATTATACTTCTCTATAATATTATTTGAGAAGTCAGTTTCCTACGTGTCGCGCTCACGTTCACTCTCGCGATGGTTGATTACATAGATACCCTTAACGAATTATTAGATTTTAAGATTATTTTTTTCATTTATTTTTTTTTCCTTTTTCTAAATAACATATATAATAAAAAGAATTTTTTCTAAAATTTTAAAACGAAAATATATGTATATAATAGGACTTTATTAAAATGGAAAGTTCACAAAATAGTAATACCCCCATTAATATATATTTTAAATAACATAAATATATTTTTAAAATAATAAAAATATATATATGTTCATGAACATCTAAAAATTTATCAGTTACACTTTATTTTCTAATATTTTTTAGAAATCAACATATAATTTGA